AATTTGCTTGAGAAATTTGAGGCAATCAGTTTCCACAGGTTTTCCAAGTAAGTTCAACTAACAGATGAACTCTTACTGGACTGAAGCAGCTCAGCTTTACTTGATTCTCCATCAATCATGTTTTAGAGTCTCAAATCTGATCCTCAGGATCTTTTGAGGAGCGTTTGTTTCCAGAAGCTTTACTTTCACTGTTCCTCAGCGGAGGAATGATCTTCACAAGCCTCCAGAACATCTCACATCTTCTGAGGAGCCTTTATTTCTTCAGCTCTCAATCACTGCATTATATGTTTGGAGCATTTCAATCTCATCTTATTACTGGAGATATAGAGCCACGACTGATATTTAGATCATTTTGTGTCAGTATCTGCTGCACTGTTAGAAAGATCTCGCTGATTTAGATCAGAATTTCATCATATATCAGCATCTGCAGCAAATTCATATTTTTGCTCAGTTTGGGTCTCTGAATAAATCTGAGCTCCATATTCTCACTCTATCAGACTATATGAATCATAAAAGCCTTATGCACCAAATTTGATACAAAACATACTTTTTTTAATATTTGGTCTAAAAGTTAAATAAACCGTTTCGATTTTTCTGACTATTATTTCATGCGTCAGGCTTTACAAAGGAAAAGGGAAAAAGGACCAAATGCTGCACTTCCAGATAAATATACAAAAATAAATATAAAATAAATAAAAAAGAAAGAAAAGATAATAAAAACAAATAATTAAATAATTAATGTATAATATACCAATATATAATATATATATATATATAATACAAACAATAATAATTAATAAAAAAGTAGCACATTTGACACCGATATCTTATTTGTGCAGTGTCCAGTGAGACCATCAGCTCAAACACTGATCAACTCCAGCGCGCTCATACTCCAGAGAGAGAGAGAGAGTGTGTGTGTGTGTGTGTGTGTGTGTGGGATGTGTGTGTGTGTATATGTGTGTGTGTTCAGCCCTCACCGGCAGTGTTGTTCGGGGCTCCAGCCCCTCTGCCGGTTTCTCTGTGTGTCTGCTGAGAGCTCGCTGACAGCGTGACCGGGGCCCATGCCGTGTGTCGTGTGACGCTTGGAGCTGTTCGCCAAATACCTGGACCACAGGAAGCAGCACGGATCAGCGCTCTGATTGGCCGCCTCCAGCCTCTGGAGGGCCACACACCCAATCGGCACACAGAATCAGAGCGGCTCCGCTCGCCACACGGCACTCGATTTAGCAAAGCCATTAGACAAAAGCAAAGCCACAGAAGGGAAGTTTGCCGTCGTTTGGCACGAGAGAGAGGTCAGAGGTCACTTTAGTAGCACTTTAGAGGAGGAACTCTGGAGGATTTAGAGTCGTTTTAGAAAGTGATGCTGATGGACAGAAAGAGACAGAGAGAGACGCCCAGAGCTCGAAGCAGCGCTGCAGTGTTTAGTGTGTCACTGAGAGAGCAGCTCACACACTCTCACACACACACACACACACACACACTCACACACATGCTACAACACGCTCCTCGAACACCCGAGTGTGCGTCTGAACAGGAGTCTGTGCTGGAGTCGGATCAGGAAACACCAGTGGATGCAAACACACTGCCGTACCTCTGAACGGCCTCCGGATCCGGCTCGGCGTCAGATCCCTCCTCATCCACCGGAGTCACGGCCGGGATCGGATGCTGACAAACACACAGAAACACGCGTCAGAGCTCACACTCCGCTTCATCCATCACAGAGCACACCATCAGACCTCACCATTCGCTTTCTGGATTTATTCCATCTTCATTCTGATGAAATGATATTGATTCTTAAATCCCAAGTTTGATCTTTTACCTTCACTGAAATCTGAAATCACAATAATCTTTGTGTTTTGTTATTTATGATATGAAACAAAGTCTGAGCTTTCAAATTCGATCAGTTTTATCACTAAATTCAATAATTAATGTGGTTTTGCTGCTCTTTAATGTGTGCTGACAGATGCTGTAGTGAAGCGATCGTCTCTTCCTCTTTCCTACTAGTTACAACATTAAACATGAATGAACTTTCATGAATCATGGAATCGCTCAATCAGTGATTCAACCGCGAAAACACGTCAGTAAAACAGCTAGAGAAGAACAAAAGTCACGTAACGTCACATTTACCTCAGAAAACACATTCAATGACCATAAACTAGAAAAAAGAGAGGAGCATTTTGATCACTATATTACATATGTATTATATTGTGCTTAACCTAGTGTTTATTTAATGTACGTTTGAATAAATCTGACATGAAACAGTTTAAATGTTTATTTCAACAACAAACTGGAGCAGAAACAATTAAATCATTACGAAGTTGACCTAAAAATGGCCTTATAGTGCAATTTAGATGTGTTTACAATTCTCTCAACAACTCTAAAATAGCAATGAAACATCATAGTTTGGACTACTACATTATTCATGTTACTGTATGAACTGACAGGGCTCCCTGTGTAGTTTACAGTATTAGTTGACAGATTGTTTGACATGTACTGCACCTGATATATATATATATTATTCAAACGAATCAGAAATGAATCAAGAGCTTGTGAATCAGAATCGAATTAATGTACTCTACTCCAGATCCTGAACTCAGCGGTAACGTCACTGTGCTGATGAATGTCACCTATGATCAATAAAGCAGTACATCATGCTCAGCTGTGAGAAACAGGAGGATTGTGGGATTGTCTCACCGGGCTGGTGACCAACGGCGACTGACCGCGCGGCCTCTTCAAGAGCTGCTGCGCGTGAAGCTGAATGTTGGCTCCGCCGTCAGACGCCCGGCGGCCCAGGGGACCCATGCCATTCAGCAGCTGCAGGGTGGGAGGCTGCAGGAGAGACTGTTCCTGCACACGACACACCACACACAACATACACCCATGCCATTCAGCAGCTGCAGGGTGGGAGGCTGCAGGAGAGACTGTTCCTGCACACGACACACGACACACGACACACAACACACAACACACAACATACAACACAAAACACACGACAGACATCAGGTGATCTCAGCGTCAGCAGGTGTCCGAGCATATATGTGCATGTGTGTGTGTGTTTTACCTTGTACTCCAGCTGCTGCGTGGGCTGCAGATTCGGGGTCGGCATCAGATGCATCTGCGCCATGGTGGGAACCAGCGGCGGGAAGGGCGGCTGAGGGGCCACACGCGGAAACCCAGGGGCCAGTTTCTGAAGATCCTCCTGAATCTCAGCCCTGACAAACACACACAACATCAGTGCTGGAGGAAGGCAGGATGGGTCTAGAGTGAACTGGGAGAAACTTCGTTTGGGTGGGAGGAGCCTAAGTCAGGTGGGAGGAGTTTAGAGTGAATTTGGAGTGACTTTAGGTGTTGTTTGACTTGAAGCAGCGCTGCTCACACCAATCAGTGTGTGACATCAAAGTACCGCGAGAGCTATAGAGAGCAGACAGCTCCGTAAGCCCTCGAAACGCTCCCGCGATACCTTGCCGTCACACACCGACAGGTCTGCTCAGCGCCGCTTCAAGTAAAACACTCCTATTAGTTTGAGGGGTTCAGAATGAACCAGGGTTTCGAGTGAAATGGGAGGGACTTGAGATAGTTGGGAGGAGTTTATAGTGAAATGGGAGGGTTTTGGGTTAGGTGGGAGGAGCTTAATTTGGAGGGACTCGAGTTAAGTGTGAGGGGTTCAGAATGAACTATCTGTTTTGACTGAAATGGGAGGGACTTAAGGTAGGTGGGAGGAGCTGGATTTAGTTAGAAGGGGTTTAGAGTGAACGGAAGGGGTTCGAGTTAGATAGGAGATGCTTGGGTTAGATGGGAGGAGTTTAGTGTGAACTGGGAGGGACTTGAGTTGGGTAGGAGGAGTTTAGTATGAACTGGGAGGGACTTGAGTTAGATGGGAGCAGTTTAGAGTGATTTAGAATGGACTTACTTTGGGGGGAGGGTTTAGAGTGAACTGGGAGGGACTTGAGTAAAATGGAAGGCGTTTAGAGTGAATGGGAGGGGCTGGAGTTTGGAAGGAGGAGTTTAGTTTGGGAGGGACTTGAGTTAGATGGGAGGAGTTTAGTGTGAACTGGGAGGGACTTCAGTTTGGTAGGAGGAGTTTAGTGTGAACCGGGAGGGACTTTAGTTAGATGGGAGGAGTTTAGTGTGATCTGGGAGGGACTTCGAGTCAACTAGGAGAGGTTTTAGGTGCGTTCGACTTGAAGCACCGCTACAGACGGCAGTCAACGAGAGTAGCCGCTTGCAGTCAGGGGCGGAGTTGAAAACGGAGCCGTCAAGCCGGACACTTTCTGCTCCCGTTAGTGACGCTCGCGCGGTGTTTGCATACTCTATCACAGATGAAGTGAATTAAATGCAATATTTGTCAAATACACAGACGTTTCAGAAACGTTTTCATGAGCAACAGAAACACTTTTTATATACTGCTTAATACAGCGCCATCTGTTCAAGAATAAAGTTCAACGTAAATACATACTATTTAAATACTAATAAAGTGGGGATATATATGCTTTCATGATAAACGTGACGCAATATAACCTTGCAACTACAGTAAAAAAGCTTTTAATGTTCTAAAAACACAGATTTATGAGCAGTATTGGATTGGAAGATGTTAGAAACACCCGTCATTGTTGTCATGTGGTGAATTTGGCCAATCGTGAAACAGCTGTGTCGTCATCAGCACTCCTGCAGTCGCTCTGAAAAAGCTGCGCCAGCTGAGTCAGCCGGCTGCTCTCGAAACGCTATCGCGGTACTTTGATGCCACACGTGACAGTGACATGGCGTCGGCTCAAGTCGGACTAAATTTCTAACCGACATGCACTGCTTCAAGTCAGCCGCCGATCGGTTTGCGCGGCGCCGCATGAAGTCGAACGCACCT